GTGGTCATAATGTAATGGCTCTTCGGTGTATATACTAAGTGAATAATTTTAATTTAAGTAGAAAAAATGTTTCTACCACGAAACAGCAATTATTGCGAATCATCAGGGTTGATGAGCGGCAGCGAACAGGGGACTTAGCCCACTAGTAAATTTATACAATTTAAATATGGTCTATGTTTTGATTTTCTAAAGAATATTGTAACTCGTTAATTTGGTTTACCCTTTATTTCATAACTTGCAAATGAAACGTTTTGCTACCTATATGTTTCACGAAGAAAAAAAAATCTTTCTTCACAATATGTGTGTTTTTATGTTAAAGTGTTTTTTGTTAATATGGTCTTTTGTTTGTAATTTTCTTTCATGTTAAATTTAATGTTTATGTGTTTCGTAATTCCCCCCCCCCCTTTGTCTTAATTTAATTGTGATTCTGTGTTTAAAAACATTTTCCTTATTTGTGACTACCTAATTTGAAGGAAGTCTATTTTATTCCTTTACAGCTAATCTCATGTTTTTTCTTTCTTTTTTTTCAATGTTAACTGAGAAAAAATTGTTAAATCTGTTTTGTTTTTTTGTTTTTGTTTTTTTTTAAATTTTATCGTGCTTCCATTGTAAGTCATCTTTCCTAAACGAAAACTTTTATTTTTAAAGTGTAAGTGAGAGTTTTTTTGCTGTTGTTGTTTATAAATATGCGGCTTTGGATGATCTTTCTTTTTGTTTTTCCGGTGAATAAGGTTTTTGAATGCTACTGATGGATTAGGGAAAAGCTAATTTAACTGTCTACCCCCAAGAGTGCTGCATGCTTAATTGATAAATACTTTAATAATTACTCTTGAAATTCTGAGTACGGAACGCAAAATATATAAATAAATTACCCGAACCTATTATGACTCAATCTTAATGGTTCGAGAGCCTGATTTTAAATGAACTACTTAGTTAATGTTAGTTGCGTTACCCCTGGGGGATAGAGCATTCGTCTCCTAACCAAGTGAGCCAGGTTCGAATCCCTGCCATGGCGGATTGATACAAATTCTGACTCTCGCAACGCCAAAGTTAGTCAGTCGTCGGCGGATCATAGGTTAGAATCCCTTTGCCGTCAGGTTAACCGTGGTAGAGTTTCGTAGTTTTCCTGTCCATGTAACGAAAATGCGAGCCATCAAAGAGTCCCAATGCTTGATCTAGGAGTTCCCACGTCTCATGGGTTGGGTTCACTCTTACAAGGCTACGGAGTTGAATCGTAGTTCATAAAAATCCAAATATTTGATCAAAAGTTATTCGGGGTGCTCCTTTTCTTGCGCACTCTACATGTAAATTGGTTAAAGTCAATGGAAGGTTTCCTGGAGGAAGGTTTTGACGTTTACCTTATGGTAGAAGCATTTCTGAAAACAACTAAACTTTTATTATCTTGCACCAAAATGCAAAATACATGCTTCTTCTTAAAACACGATACTACACTTTTTGACATATTATTCGCTGAAACGCTTAACGACAGATCCTTCAATTTAAAAGCCGGCTCATAACTAGAAAAAAGAAGGCCTCCGCACGGGTTACCATAAACAAAAAATCTGATCTTTCAGTCGTCCGAACGTAATGATATCTTTCGCTGATGATTTCCCTGACAGCTCAGTTTAGTAGCCCGCACGTAGTGACCCATTTCGAATAACTCCCCACTGTGTAGTTTATGTTTGTAAAGTCGGACTATTGAATTTATTCGTCATCACGTCAGTATTGTACCAAACCACGTCACCCTATCAGCGATTGTTTGAATACAGAAAAAAATGTCACAAATAATTTTGGAACTGACTTTGTAAAGCGTTTGTGTTCTAAAAATAATTCTTATGTGTTAGATATCGAGATGTCTCATGCGTGTAAGATATCGAGATATCTCATGTGTAAAATTTGGAGACATATCTCATATGTGTGAGATTTTGAGAGTTAGAAAGTATTTTACACGCGTGAAAACAATCTTTTAATCTAATTGATTTGTTTCATCCTTATATTGCAGGAATCCAAAACAAGACTCCTGAGTTCGGTTTGTCTTTTAAATAACAATTTTGAATCGTCTTCCTCAATGTTTGGTAAGCCGCCACATCCTGGATCAGTGTCTCCCAAAAGTAGACGTTCATCACTTCCTGTCGGACCCCTTGCTGCACATCATCAGTCTTCCAGCCATCATCAGGCAAAAACACTCAGCACCACCAACGAGAAACAGGAAACGAAAACAGAGAGAAAAGAAAGGTACTTTTACAAATTTTCATTACTTTAACAAGGACTTATTTTATCCAAGGAACAGATTATTATGTTGGCAAACGAAGGGCTACCATTGGCAATTAAAATTATTATTTTGGGGAAAAAAGGAGATTATGATGACTATTTTTGCTAAAACAAAAACTACTATTTTGCAATTAGTTGTAAAAAATTGGCAATTTTTTTCCTACCAATTAACTACTTAAAAAAGAAACTTGTGATATTTTTCTCTCACAGCGCTACAAATAAGAATGTAATCAATGAGTCCGAAAACCAGTCATCTGCACTTTTTTTTTTTTTTTTTTCAAAATTGAGATTTTTGCGTTTTTAAGTTTAGCTGACGTTTATACATAGTAGGATATTAAAAAAAATTATGTCCACTTACTTGGTATAGTATATTTTGAGCAGTAAAAAATAGCTCTATATACCCCGAAGAGCCATTACATTATGACCACCCTCCGCCTCCATCTATAACAATCGGCTCGCCCAGGTTTTCATGGTTTCTCCCCCAGGAACAATGTTTTCATGGGGCACATTAGGACCCATAATCCTCATAGAACAATCCCGGACGTCTGTTAGCTACTTTAACATAGTTGTAGACCATGTTCACCCATTCATGGCAACAGTTTCTGCTGCTGGGGATGGTGTTTACCAACACCATCCCCAGCAATGCACCATGTCATAAGGGTCGAATCGTCATGGATTGGTTCGAGGAACATTCCAGTGACTTTCAAGTCATGTCTTGGCCCCCAAATTCATCTGACCTTTATCCAATAGAGCATTTGTGTTCCTACTTAAAAAACCAAATTCGTGCTGCCACGCTACCCCCTCGCAATGTGAGGGAATTGCAGGACCAGTTGGTGAGCGCTTGGTACCAGATACCTCAGACTACCTATCAGCACCTTGTGGAATCAATGCCACGGCGGGTGCTAGCAGTTTTGAGGGCTAAAGGTGGTCCTACATGTTATTAGCAGGGTTGTCATAATGTAATGGCTCTTCGGTGTATATATGAAGCTGATACTTAACTATTCAGCTTTTTGTCTCTACTGTAAAGTTAGTTTTGTTGGAGATGATTGGTTTTCGAACTCATTGATTCCATTCGACTGAGAGGATCATTATGCTTTTTTTTTTCTTTTGTGTGTATGTGACTTCATCTATAAATGTGCTTTTTTTCTCACTCGATTCGACCAATGGAATTGCAGTGGTAATATCACCGACGTAAGCCGAAGCAAAGACGCCAACTCGTTCCGCTTATAAACTCAGAATACACAATATGTCTAAATTAGTGAACTCGAAATATGCACTAGATTTCAGTCTGCATACAGCCACTTAGAACAACCTGAAGCATACATTTTAGTGCACCTTATTAGTCCTAAGTACAAAAAAAAAATCGTTTTTGGTTTGTTTATTGCCGAAAAGGTTTAAAGAATGTTTCGAATGTTCTGCTGCCATTAGTCCTTTTTTTATTACTCTTGTCAACAAGCTGTATTTATTGCTATTTACACTTAAACACAACTCAAAAAAAAAAAAGAAAATCCGAATATTTATGTTTGTAATTTTAACATAAGTATCAATTAAAATTGTATTTTTTTCCTTCGAAGTTTCGCCAAAGCATCCCGCTTATCCAGAACAGAATCAGAAGAATCTACGATCAGCAAAGAGGGCAGTGAATGTCCAGAAAAATCTGAAGATGTGTCCGAAGAGAACTCTGCGAAAGACAGTAGGTGCGGATTATATCGTTCAATGCTTCTTAATACATGAAAAAAAAAAAGCTTTTTTTTATTTTGCACATCTTTTTAGTTTTGAATTTTGCATGCTTAGTTTTTAATTTGCTTTTCTTTCTTGAAAAATCTTTGCAAATAATTTCGTGAGATATTTTTATTTGTATACTGTTGGTAAACTTTTTATTCTGTATTTCGCTCAAAATGCGAGTTTAAGAATATGGACACTCAAAATGCGTGTATACGAAAATGGGCCACACGCATTTTGAGTTCCAAATAGGCGCAGCTCTAAATGCGTGTTTAAGAAAATGTAGACAGCTCTAAATGCGCTTTTAAGAATATGAACACAGTTCAAAATGCTCGTTTAGGAAGGACATAGCTTAAAATGCTCGTTTAAGAACATAGCTCAAAATGCTCGTTTCAGAAAATAGACATAGCACAAAATGCTCGTTTAAGAAGAACGCAGCTCAAAAAGTTCGTTTAAGAAAATGGGCGCAGTTCAAAATGCGCTTTTACGAATATGGGCACGGCTCAAAATTCACGTCTACGAACATAGACACAGTTCAAAATACGTGTTTAAAAAAATGGAAACTGTTCGAAATGGGAGTTCAATAAAATAGGCATAGTTTCTTTTTTTGTTTTTTTTTTTGAAAGATTATAAAAAAAAACTGGACAAAGCATTTATTTCGATTTTTAAACTTTTATTCATGGAAATTGTTCTTTTTTAGAAAATAAACTAATGGATCCGATTAAATTCGTAATATGATGTCATCCAAGTGCCTAAATCACTGAATGAATTTTTTTTAAATTAGTCTTCTTTTTTTTTTCCAAATATATTAAAAATCAGATTTTCACGGGTCCTATAAATTTATAATAGTAGTTATTTTAATTGACATCGTTCGAATTTAAATTTTTTAAAAACACTTTATCGTTTGGTGTTCTGAATACGAAGAGATTCCTGAAAAATGATATGTGTCATATATCCAGCTACTCCGACCGACCCTTAAGTCCGGCACTTTGCTTCGTAATGATTATGCTTACTGTTTAAGGCTGTTTTTCGAAAGCTCCGTCGTAATGTGAAATGGTGCTTAGTTGCGAAAAATATGCTATTTTTGTAACTGCTGTGAGTTTGCAACTGTTACTCATGACTGTTAGGTCGAGTTTAGCCTATCTAAAGCCAGAGCTATATACTCTTATTTTGAAAATGGCGCAAAATGGAGAAAAGCCCCAGTTTTATGAAAATGAAAAGCGTTTGTGGTTTAATTTTTTAATATTTGAAAACGTACTCCAATGCTGCATTACCTGGGCACATGAAAATTTGCAAAAACTAAGAATAAAGCAGTGATTTTGATAATTTTTCTCGAGTTGAAAAAATTCGGAAATTGGCGATTTTTAAAAAAGTTTAGTAACTTTTAAATTATTTAAGTTAATTGTCCGTTCTAAAGCCCAAATAATTCTTCCAGATTATTTATATATATAGTTTAAAATCATCCCATTTCTTCAAGTGTAAGGCAAAAAAACTATGACTTTTTTATTTTTCTTGGCGGCAGAACTCCGAAAAACAGCGTTAAAAAAAAGTAACGAAAGGTAAATACTGAATTCCTAGTTTAGTTGCTAAATTTGGGTTGAACATTGATTGAGGAGCATTTCGATCATTGTCCATTTTCTAAAACACGCATTTCGTTTATAATGAAAAAGCTCATAAAGGATATGATTTGCTTTGCATGATTAAGGCATACTATTTGTGTATTAAGAATATTTTATATGAATTAGTGCGTATATTGCAGTCTTGATTCGAAGTCTTTGCAAAGGTATTCAGAGATATTACACCGAGCGACCAAACAATTCGGTAATTAAGTTGGATCTGATGACGTCACATAAGTTATGTGTCACGTCATTCTGATTCAAATTATCACTGCGGGGATTTCATGACCTGCTGCATAATGACGGGAATGTGGCTGAAACTGTGCACATGCCGCCTTTACTTCCGATACAAGCTGGTACCCATCAATCTGAAGTTTACTGTACTTCAAGCTGCCTAAGGGGATTGAGCTCCAGTTCTTCACAATTCAGTTGTGAATTCTTCACAATTCAATGACAATTCAGTACGTTAAAAACATGACTATCGCGGCTCGACGCGTAAAGTACTTCAGTTATTTGTTCAGCAGCTTTATATATCTTAAAAATATAAATCGAATCAGAGGAATATTCTGTAAAAGAGGCTCTAAACCGTTTTTATTGGTGAATAAAAATATTCTTCCCTTTTCATAATTACGTCTCCCTTTCCCAGGACCAGCTATTGGTAGCGTATGCCCCAAGCCTTCACACTATCAACACGCTACTGGCTAAATAAATTTAACATTAACAATTATGAATAAGTCATATCAGTTGAAAAAGTATGTGATTTTCTCTTAAGTGCTGTGTTGGGTGTCAGTGGTTGAGGTACTGAGTTTCCATTGCCTAGGACAGAGCTCTATCTTCAGTGCCAGCTTGAAGCTCAGCTGTATGAACGAATTCACGTAAGTGTCAGCTTGTCTAGAAGTAAGAACGGTTGGTGACCAAATCTTAACACATAGCTTCACTCATACCGTTTATGTCGATATTGTCGAACCCGTCCTCCATGATCCCCTTGGCCTACAGCTGGCTGTTGCGAAAATATTTACTTTTTTTATTCGCTAACAGACGTTATTTCGAATGATATTTTTAAAAAAAAAACTTGAAAAATCAGTTTAGCTATTTTTTATGCGATGTTAATATTAATAACATAAATAACAAAAATATTAATAGCATAACATTTCTAAATATTAGTTAACAACCCCTTTAAAAAAAAAGCAACCCTGAATCCATTATTTTGAGAATAACACCGGGGAACAAATTTTTTGTTGCATTTGTACGAAAACTTGATCGTGTGTGGGGATTTCAAATATGAAATTAGTTTTGTTCATAAAGCTACAGATTTTTTTAGAAAATGACATTTTTAGTCTATTTTTTGTCGAAATGTACAAGTGTAAAAACGTTATATGTATAACAGGTGTTGGTGTTGCTTAAAAGTAACAACGAACTTCTAGAGGAGTTAGGGCACATCATAAGGATTAAAATCGCATCAGAAATCATTCGTGGAAATGTCGTCGTACGTGGCTTGGGATGCTTTCCTATTTCGACCTGTTCAGAACAGTCTATAGTGGGAAATCTTATTCCCTAGCGGCGTGTGACGACGCTTCTAGCCATGCACTGTTAATCCTGACGATGTGCCCTAACTTTCCTAGAAGTTGATTGCAACAGTTACGTGACTCCCTGTTATATATGACGTCATACTTCGACTACAAAAAGAAACTAATCTCATTTTTTTTAAAAAAACTGCAGTTTGAAGAGAGAAACTAATGGCAGATTTGAAATTAATGACGTGAAAATATCCAAAATCCGTTAAAAAATCTGCGACAGAAAACAACAAAAATTGTTCTCCGGTTAATTCTGTAGAATAATTTATTTCTAGAGTTTATCAGTATCATGTGGATAATATGCGTGCAAACCTTAATAAATAAAATAATTGTTCATATTTATAAGTTATCAACCAACTTTGCCTTGCTTTTTATTTCCTACACGATTTATTTTCTGCCACCATGTTATAAATGTGTTTTTTGTCCTTTCTCATAATGAAGATGGGTCATTGTCTTTCAGTGATGTAAGCTTTATAGAGTCTTCCCTCTCTTTGCCTCCAGACAATAAATCCTCAGAACTGCCTTTGCAAGAATCTGCCTGTGATAAAGACATCATAGATAGTGTCTGTTTACTGCCTGAAATAATTGTTCCAGTCAAATCTAAATCTGTGTAAGTTCCCTTACCCTCTGTTCTCACCTCCCCTTTGTTTTTATATGCCTATTGTTTTTATACAAATTTAGTAGCCAGGAACGTACAAAGTCGAATTCGACGACAATTTCGACCGGAGTCGGAAAAATTCTCTCTACTCCGATTCTTCGTAAGAAGCCTTTACCCTCCCGACCATAGACTAATAATATTATAAATTTATTATATTATATTATTATTTATTATATTTTAATATACATCAATTTATTATATTATTATATAAATATATTTTTCTATAATTTATATTAACCATAAATTATTTTGCAATAAATTTTGCTTGTAGTGATCAGGAAATAATTGATCTTTGTAAAATCTCCATTTACTCCATTTATAATAATAAACCCCATTAGGGATAGCTTCAGTTAATAATGACTTAACTCCATAAATAAACTTCATTTTGGATATAATACCACCAGCTAATTGGAAAATGGTCACACTTTTGATAGACAAATTTCCTTTGTCGATAATACAACAAATACTGTACAATCGGTCTACAGTGGACTGATCGTTAAGACACGGTTCCCATCAGAACACCGAAGTCAAGCATCACTGGCTGCGGTCAGTGTGTGGGTGGGTGACCACGTAGGGACCGAGGGTGTGCGGTATTGGTCCTTGTTAAACTGCTCTACCGCAAAGTGCTCGACTTCGCATGCAGGTCGTCAGGCTACCGAAGCGGGTGTGCCATCCTTTCTGCAGAGGATCAAAATTGTGATAGCATGTCTTCGGGATCATCCTCAGGGATGATTCCCAGACCGTCGCCAATAGCCCATTGTGCAGCTCTAGTGCGACGTAAATGAACTACAACTGTCTACAGTAAGAACTTCCCCCTCCCGCCTCTAAGTGGCTAACACAATACATAGATATAAAGGCAGAAAGATCAATCACTCGACCAGGACGTCACGGTGAACGTTGACATCACTGGTCTAGTAACTAGTTTGTACTCTATAACCACGCCCTCTAGTGAACTGCGGTGCTTGTTTATTGCAGCTGTACATAATTTGTTCTTTTTTAATTTGATTTTTTTAAGTTGTAATGATTAAATAAGAATTGATAACATTCAGTCTCTTTGCCAGAAAAATCTGCAATTCTCAAATTTTATGACACATTTTTTTTTCCTGATTTTTTTTAAAGATTTATAATTCGTAAATTTTAAACTTAATAAACAATAAAAAAAAAAACTAATATGTTATTCAAATTTAATTCTTTATATCATTCTGAAATTCAAATATTTCAAATAAAGTAAAACACAATTCATGTATTTACAAAAAATTAATAAATAACATAAAGAACATTTTAGTAAACATTCCAAGCTAATCAAAACATTATATTTCATATAAAACACAAGAAATTGGAAAATGATAATAATTGCTGAGATATAGTCTCATTATTGCCTGTTAGCGTACAATTAGTTTGCTAGAAAAACGTTTTCTTGGTTTTCATTTGTGTGTAATGAAAATTCTAATTATTTTTATTCAAAAAGTCTTTCAAAATATGATTTTACTCCTCTATTTCAATTACAAGGTACTTTGATATATGGGTCGTGTTAAAAGTTAAAAATATAAGAAAGTGTTTCACAACGTCCACTAAGATGACAAATTGTCTGTCAAGGATGATAAAAAAAAATTAATGGTTTAAAAACAATTCATTGCGATAATGAACATTTAGCTGTAATGCGATTATTGTTCAGCAATCTGAAAGACATTTTCGTGGTTTACCTTTGCATTTAACGCAACATTTGATTTGTCTAAATTCAATTTAATTTTAAATAATATACAGGTTACTACAAAAGCTTTTATAAACATGATTTTACTCTGATATTTAAATTGGAAGTTACTTTAATTTCTGGGTCGTGTTAAAAGTTAAAAATATAAGAAAAGTATTTCACAACATCCACTAAGATGACAAATTGTCTGTCAAGAATGATAAAAAAAATTTATTGTTGAAAAAATAATTCATTGCGATAATGAACATTTAGCTAGAATCCTATTACCGTTCAGCAATCTAAAAGACTTNTGGTTTTCCTTTGCATTTAACGCAACATTTGATTTGTCTAAATTTTAAATAATATATAGGTTACTACAAAAGCTTTTATAAACATGATTTTACTCTGATATTTAAATATTTCTGATTATGATTTCTGATTGCACAATAGACCGAAGAAAAATATTCTCTTTCTCTCGCCGATCCGAACCTTTCGTAAGCGATGACCCCACACCCCTACTTGAAATAGTTATACCTCGTTACCATAGTCACCGCCACGGGTCTAGACGAATGGCTAAGGGAGTTCTTACTTCGGACAAACTATATTTAAGGGACAGAAAACTAATATTATTATACTTTAAAAAGCACCAATTGAAATTTTTGAGGATTCTAGATACTAAGAAAGTGATAGAAATTTCGATGTATGATTAATTTCCGTCTCGGCGATAACGTTTCGCTTGTAAGAAACGATTGAATCTTGGATAGTCATGCAGTTGAAAACTCCAATTGAAATTCGACTACTTTTACCCGTCTAACTTCGGTCAAAATTTTGCTTGTCGGTTACATCTCAGGTGTGTCAAAAATCACTGAAGATGATGATATACACAAGTTTAAAAACAATCTCTAAGAATAATGCAACATTCAGATTTTAAAAAATAAACGTAAGCCTGCAAGCAAGGAAAGATGTCATTAAACTAAATCGTAGATCCAATCTTTTTTTTTTTTTTTGATTGTTTGTCTCAAAATGTTTTTCTATTCATCAATTTCTAGAAAGAAACACTATTAATTGATTTGCAATTTTATGTTAGGTTCCTTTTGCATATGATTCAAAAAGCTGTCAATAGTAGAGTGTGGAAAATGGACAGTGCTACTTTGTTGTTGCATGCTCGCTACACTCTCAGTGCTATCTTGGCTACAGCTGCTATGTTTACTTTAGTGATGACTTTTGTGCCCACTTAAAAAACGACCAAGAACTTTAATCATGTGAAAAGGTTGTATTATTAACCTTACATCTTCGGATGTGGGTAGGTTTATCACGTCAGATTCTTGCAGTAAGAGATTGGACAATTTTGGTAAGAGATTTGTATAAGTTCATTTTCAATTCAATGTAACAGAAAATTACTTTACGAATGTAATATATTTTTACTCAAATTTTAATTGATAGTGTTCTCTTGAAACAAGAATTATAAAAAAAAGAAAACAAAATGAGTTGTATTTTGATTCATGCTGATTTTAAAACAAGAAAATAGTTTTGGTAATTGATACAATTTTAATATAAATTTTAAACTTAATTGAAGCATTTCAATGCATTTGAATTTCAATATTTTTTGTAATTAAAGAGGATAACTGTAAAATTAATAGTCTCAAAAACATTAAATGCTTATTCTTAATTTATGCATTTTTCAATCTTTCAAAAAAGGCTTATGTATCAATTGTATTTTAAAAAAATCAAAAACATTTAATAATAAATTTGTTTTGCCTGTTTTTTTTTTTTTTAAGTAATTATTAAACTTTTTTTTTACTTCTGGATTACAAAAACATTCATAATTGAGTTCGTTTTGAATTCTTTAAATTTATATTAGTAATTATCAAATTTATTTTCTTGATCTGTAAATCAAAAGTGTTTATAATTAAACTTTTTGTGTTTGATATATTTTCTAACTATGTAGTAAACATCAAATTTATTTTTGTTTTGAAAAATCTAAAACATTTTGCCTGATATATTTTTTAAGTAAGTAACCATCGAAATTATTTTATGTGTAATATTTGTAAATATAAAATTTGCATTTAAATATCTATTTACAATGTGTTTTAATCGTGAATATTTTTTTTACTGATTATCTCCACTTTAAACTATACTTTTGGTGAATTTTGTATAGTTTTTATTTGTAATGATACTATTGAGGTTTTATGTGCCAAATAAAATAAAAATGTAGCATTAAAATATCTTTTTTATTTAACAAGTTACTACAAAAGTTAACACTTTTACAATTAGTTAACACTTTAACAAGTTAACACTTTTACAATAAAACATATTAAAGAAACAAAAATTAATTCATAGAGCAAATTAGGCCGGGATAGCCTGGTTTGCAAGTCGCTGGCCGCTTGTTTGTGAGAAAGGGAGTTCGAATCCAGCTGGCGGAAGACTACCTGTGTAGTAAATAGTGACTGGTGCATGTAAATCTGTAGGGTCACAAAGTCCTCCATGTTCCCATAATAAATCAATACATTTGGGGATACTAAATTGTAGATTGATCGCTCTCTGGTTCAGGTCAAAATTACAATGTGTGGGAGAATACCTCCTATAAACTGATGGGGCAGAAGTCGAATTCTTGGCCATAGGTAGCACTACTGCAAAACAAGAACATACCCCCTCTACCTTAATGACCAACAACAACATAGAATGAACTCAATTTACTTAAATTTAGGAACTGTTAGGGATATAGCCTTCCTTGCAGGATACATTACTTCAGGGGTGGCGAACCAATGGCACGCGTGCCATAAATGGCACGCTACACAATATTCTGGGCACGCCACCGATCACAAATTTCACTATAAAACATATTAACAATTAAATTGAAATTCACAAAAAACAAATAAGAAAACAATTAACAAAAATTAACAATTAATGCCAAAAAAAGAATTAATAACCACAAAAAACGAGCTAACAATAAATAACGAGCAAAAGAAAAATTGTAGTCCTGCTTAAACTAACATCTTACAACCTAATATAAGTTATTAAAAAAAAAACAATTAATAAGCATACAAAACAAGCTAACAATAAATAAAGAGCAAAAAAAGAAAAAAATTAACGGTCCTGCTTAAACTAACATCTTGCAACCTAATTTCAGTTATTTGTCATCTAATCTGCAACAACAGAAGTCACACTGATGTTACTTTAAGTTGAATTATGCGTATAACTGAGATACTGCAAAATGTTTTTTTTTTTTTTTTCATAGTAAATAAAGAGTTTTGAGTTGATAGTTTTATTTTCCCAATAATCACAAAGTCAAAATTATTTGACGGCACGTCTATGACCTCATTAAACAATTTTTTTGAAAAATGGCACGTTGGTGCATAAAGGTTCGCCACCCCTGCATTACTTCATACGCTTTGGGAATTCCCTCCCTTTATGGAAAAGAAACTTAGTTAATAATTTTTATTTGAGTTAACAAGCAAAGGTTATATGTATATATATAACCTATAGAGCATAACTTTTGACAATTCCTGCTTATCGAAAATTCATAGCTGTCTACATAGCTGCCAACATGGATAGGAAAAAATCTAGTAGATTTTATGACATATAAACTTCCTGATAACTGTTACATAATTCACTAAATATATTACATATAGGGAATTTTAAGGATTTTTACTGTCATCAAAATATATATATATATTTTTTTTTTACTAAACACAATAAATGGTCTGCAATATTTTCCATTTATGATTGACATTAAATAAACTTAAATTTGAATATTTTTATTATAATTAACTCATAATTTTAAATACTAATAAACAAGTAATTTATTTATTGATAGTTGAAAGATTTTTTAAAATTAGTTTAAAACAGGAATTCTGAATGAAATAAACTGAAAATTTTAGAACAGAAAAAAAAAAGCTTTAAACTGATTATTATAAATGATGAAACTCGCTTCATTATGTATTAATAATATTTATTTAAATAGTCAAGCAAACAAAAAATTTTGTAAAAACTCTATTTTGATAAGGATCTTTTAAGGAAACTTACTCAGTTTTAGGGAATTTTCTAAAATGTACGAAAACTAGGAGAAATTTTATTATACCAGTAGTCTACTTGTAAATCTAATAGAGTTGGCAGCTATGTGTCTAGCAATCAAGAAACGAGCTCTCAATAAGATTGCTGTTTCTTAAGATGAGGGTTCATCTTGTAATTGCCAGACAATACTTAATTTAGTCTGCAAGGGAACAGTGTTGGAACTTCAAATGCTTTCCTCGGGAGAATGCTATCCTGCTTGAGAAACTCTTCATGGCGAATTCTCATTCTCTTCCATTGGCATTTAAAAAATTAGAGAAACGAGAGTTCAGGTAAACCTAGAGTACCAAATGCCAGAAATTATTTTTTCTTTCCAAAATGCAAACAAATTATGACAGGATAATTTCCCCACTGCGTAATCCTGCCACGATTCTCTATCCTTTTGAAATGAAAAAAAATTCAGAATCGGAACTTTATGGTTTCCTTTTTACTTTGTGTACCTGAACTTGCTTTTCTCTAAATTTTGAAATACAAATAGAGGTGGAATTTACTATGAACTGATTCCCTAGCGATATAGTGTCCTATTGAAGAGACATCATATTTTTAGAAGCGTTTTTGGTATTACAACATTATAATTTGAATAACGTTATATTTGAAATTAAAAATCAAAAATTAGCGCATAAAGCTATAAATGATTATTCTTGTAATAAAAATTAAAGAATTTTTCTATGTTAATAGCAGGAAAAATGTTTTGCTTAACCAAAAAAAAATTCTCAACATATAAATACAATTGTAAACGGTAAAATGGTTTTTAAATACTAAATTCACAAAATTAAATTACGTTTATTTTAAAAAGATTTAAAAGCATGTTTAGGTTAATAAGTTTTGGATACATCTTCAATTGGATGCAATAATTTGATTATTAAAACATTTTTCTCACATTCTTTCTCATCATTCATTTATTTCTTTGTTAAAAAATTTTTCTTTACAGCAAACAAAACAAAAAAGCTAAATTTGTGAATCTTTTTTACATTAATCACCGATATAAACCACTCGCTTTTTCCTAAGCCCATTTATTTCTCATAAATTCTTATTTATTTTAATTGTTGAATATTATTCAACAATAGTACAAATTTAGATTGCAAATGTTGAAGTTCAATCAATCCTATTCTTTCATTGCTGAGTGACATTACTTGATTATTTAGCAATTTTAAAAAAATGCTTTCATCAAAATTTATTCATTTAATTTTAACAGAAAATATTTTTCACATATTTAAGGAAATGAAAGAAAATTTAATTTAAAAATCAAACCATGTACAACTTCTCTTTTAAGAAAACAATAGAGCAGAGTAAATTTCATGTGAGTTTATTTATAACAGCTGGAAAGTTAACATTTACAAATATAACAAAGTGTGCAAACTTTTTTTAAAAAAGATGTACATTTCTGAGGCACTGATATTTATGCAAACATAAATAAGTCCAATAAAAATTAAATATCAAAATAATTTTGAACTTCAGTTAAACTATAAAAGAAATTACTAATAAAACAGTATCTTTAAGCATACCTGAATGAAAAAGGAATAGTTAAAAATTTTAAGTTATACAATATAGAAATATCAAAATTACATCAAAAAAATGGATTACTTTTAATATGCTCAGCACATTTTCAAGTTTTGTTTCTCTTTCACATATTGGATGATAAATTTTAATATTGAACACCATACAATAATATCGTTTAATAAAATATATTCACGTATATACAAAACATTAAAATTTTTCTTAATAAAATAGCATGCAGCTATTTTTTATACATTTACAAAGTTATCTAATGATCTATATACAATGATATCTGGTGTAAGCCAGTTAAAGGAACCAAAATTGATGGCACAATTATGTGAAAATGCGACATGGCTATGTGACACTATTCACCCAATAAAACAATGACATATCAATACAAAAAAACAATCATTTATAGAATGTCAGTTTTGGAAAATTTTTGACGCATCCTATAGTAGCAATTAACACTTTAAAAACAAATAGTTTTTGAAAACTTTTAAACAGAGTAAAGGTTGCTTTCCGTTTGCGTAGATAGCATATACCGTAGTCAAGGCACGTTTCAATATTGCTAACAGTTATCAACAGTGTTATAGCACAGTGATAATTTAAACACTTGCTCTCCCCCCACAAAAAAAAATGGTAAGTGCATGTGAAATAGACACAAAGTGAGGAAATTGGAAAAGAAAAATAATACAGTTGAGTCTGTTTGAGAGAGATGGAGAAGATGTTTATAACGACAACATTAATGAAAATGACCAATAATGTGATTTTGTGAATAAAGTACTAAATTAATTATCACTACATTCTTAAGCAGATACAACTACTATTATTCATGATTAAGAACAAATATTTTCTTATTCAACATGAAAGATGGCTCCTTTAAAATGTCCAAAACTATAAACTATTAAAACAAGTCTGGAATTGAACTAATCAACAATTCTTACATTTCAATTAAATTTCATTCTTACATTACAATTAAAATTACATTCTTGTACAAGTTTTTCGTGCAATAAAAAAATAAGCAAAAAAGGTACTTGAAATAGCTAATTTGTTAGGAAATAAATTGACAATCCTGCATCTGCAAAAGTGTGAAGGAAAAGTTTTTCACACATTTTGTTTAAAGACGCTCCTCATGATTTGTCCGCATCCCTTCAAAGTACTTAGAGAGTCGACTGTAATAAGAATTTCTGAAATGGATCTTGTACAAAATGAAGATTTCAAGTAGAAATAACAATGAAATGTGTTTTATAAAACTCACTGCAATGTAAAAAGTTTTGAGCTATCAAGACCAATGAGTGAAAAATGGCAGATGTCTGCAACAATTTAAAAAACTCAATGAGATATGACATTTTCTTTACTATCTGACAGTAATTTTAATTAGAAAAGTAGTTTATAACTGAAGTTAATTTACCCTGAAGTTTAACTTCACCCACTTTAGCAAAGCTTAGTTTTGCTGACAGATATAAATTAAAAAATAGTTATATATTTTGCCTTAAGTATTTATAAAAAATTTAACAGAATTTGTCTAATACAGAAATTTTATTCAATACAGCTTTAAAAACAAACTTAAAAAAATTACTAAGAACTTTTAAAGTTATACTAAATGCTAAAGAAGTTATCCAATCAAAAAATTAAGACTAGATTTTCAGCTTTATGAGTACAATAAAACACTAAAATCTTGAATAGCACAATATTTCAGTTGTTTTATCTTACTATAAACAATGCATCACAGTTCAAATAATTATAGTATAAACACTAAAAACTTCAAAGTATTACCTAATTAGAGCATTACATTAATTATAAGCCACAGCAACAGATACCAAAACAGAATGCTTTTCGGCAATAGTGTAACAGCCAAAAATAGAATTTTCAATGACATCTTTTACAAAAAATTATCTTAAACATAATAGTATAAAAATCAAGTAAATAAGGATTTCAAAAAATTCACTAATTAGTTCTTTTTAGTAGTCAGCATCAGCACTGAAATCCTTAAAAAGAACAGAAAACCAGTAGCAGTTGGCATCCCTGTTGCATGCAAATCTATGCAACAAAACTAATTTTTGAAAAATTGTAAACTTTACTTTTCATCTGAATTATTTATATCTCCTGTTTCTTTGTGAACCATGCAACCTTCAACACTCTGATGTTACTTTCGTCTGTTTCTACAATTTTTGCAGCAGCATAACTGCTAACATAGATTGGAAAAAAATTCCAGAAGATTTTAAGAAAATTTTTGTTTAATGTACTAAATATTTTACACGCATGGAATTTCAAGGATTCATATTATCATAAAAGAAAAACTGAAATATTTTCCAGTCATGATTGGATTGAAATATTGTGTATTTTGTTTACTCATAATTTTAAATAGTAATAGGCAATTAATTCATAAATAATAATTAAGATTTTTTTAATTCATTTAAAAAGGGAGTTCTGAATAAAAATAAACTGGGCATTTTAGAACAAAAAAAAGTTCTTTACTGATTTCTATAAATGAGGCTTGCTTCATTATAAATATTAGTAAGTAATACTTATTTAAATATTCAAGCAAGCAATAATCCATGTAAAAACCCTATTGGTTTTAGGGAATTTTCTAAAATGTAAAAAAACCAGGAGAATTTTTATCAAACCAGTAGAAACTGGAACTGGAAGTTGGCAATTATGCAGCAGGCTTTTCTGTTTTAGATCTTAGTACTAGGAAGCTACGGGAACTCCAAAAATCAAACTTTTCATGTATTAAAAAGTGCTAAAAAAATTAATATTCACTAATTTTTCTGGAAATAATTAAAATCTTTTAATTATTTCAATCAAAATTAATAATAATAAGACTTAACATTTGTATTGCAAGGTTGGAATGATTAAAAAGAAATAAAAAAACCCTGAGTTACATTTGAAAGAACTCAAACCAATTAATTCAACCACTTTTATTAGTTTATGGGAGAATTAAAAAAGAAATAATCCAGATGAATATAAAACTTATAATTTAACTCTTAGCAACAATTTTATCAATCTAAATTAAACTACTTCTTTAATGAATCATAGTTAACAGCAGTAATGTAATACCTAAAGCTTTAAAAAGTACCTAATTTATCATCTTTATTATTTATTTATTCTTTTGAAAATGTAATTGCAATTTATTATTCATTACTCTAACTCTGCCCGATTGATTATGAATTCCTATTAAATTGAAATAAATCCATTACTAGAATAAACTTTGTAGGGATTTTTTTTTCTGAGGACTAACTATTTGAAGTTAATACAAATCAGTAAATACTCTGTTTAACTCTCATGTGTATTGCATTCTCATAGCATGCTACATACTTAAAAATTATTTATTCTGAAGGTGAATATGAATATAAATAAAACTTATTTAAGTTGGACAAGGTTCTGACAAAATTACAAAGCGAACGATCACAAAGAAACAAAATTTCTAGATTAAAATTAAATAAAATTGCTGAACAACAAAATATAACTTTCTATAGTCAATTGAATTGATATCCCTACTCAGTGAACTCAGAGAATGAGACATATACACATGCAATGAGTGATAATCACAGGCTTAAAATGTAATGCTGTTGCTACGATTGATGCCCTTCCCTATTAGTCTTGTGCAACATTTTGACTTAGCGACACCCATTTTGTCCATCCCCACTGGAATAGAGGAGTAATAGTTCTCTTTGGAAGCGATCCCTATGATCATCTTACTCTTTCGCTGGTCAACGTTGGTGTTGTTGTCTTTTAGGGCCGCTCCGATGAGCAACTTGTTCTCGCGATTTTCCATGCTTGCAGAGTTTTCAGAGGACACTTTAGCCATTTCTACTAGCTGCCTGTAATTAAGATAAATATGTGTGAGCAATCATTGAATAAAAAAGAAGTACATGATTACAAAAAATTAATTATGCTATACTCCATTGCAAGTTAAGAAAAGATCATTGCAGTATAGGGTTTAAGTAATTATCTGCAACTGCATATAGTTACTGTTTCCTCATCAAATGATAAAAATATATCGGCCAACATAGGAGAAATAAAATAACAAATTTTGCTAGCGACATTTTTGGGACTATGTGCACATTTTTGATACATTATGCATAATAATGTAAGTCAAAAAGAGAAATTCAAAACAACGTAAGCACTTAAATTTAGCGTGAAGTAAGAAATATGTAAATAAATCTTAAACTAAAAAGGATTTTCTTAAACCATTATTCACAATTACTTATAATATAGACACTCAACATCAGAATAATTTTTAAATAATACAGAGAAATTGAAGAGAATAATGGTAAATGAGAGATAGTCGTAAAATATGGGTGTCTTCGATAAAAAAGGGTAGACTTGGCAGGCATAAACATGCATTCAAAACAATATGAAAGATTTTAAAAGTTAAACACGTCAGAGAGAAATTTAATTTGTGCTGTTTTTTACAATATATATATCATGGGCCGGGATAGCCTGGTCGGTAGGGCGCTGGGCCCATATCCAAGAGGTCGTGGGTTCGATCCTCGCCGGCCGAAGACTCCCCGTGTAGTAAATGGTGACTGATGCGCGTTAGATCTGTCGAGTCTCAAAGTCCTCCATGTTCCCACAACAAATCAATACCTCTGGGGGTACTGATCCAGGAGTTTCCTTGTCTTCTGGATTGGTTCAAAATTACAAGGCTACGGAGTTGAACGTAAGTAGTCGTAAGCCCATGAAATTGGGTCGGCTGTTCAACGACGGTTATAAAATAAAATATATATATATCATAGAATTATTAAAAAAGGTTATAGTTTCGTAGCCTCACTGGAACTCTGTTGACACATTTCAGTAAATAAGGAAAACATTCGATCTAAGAAAAAGAAAGTTGCAAGGTCGTTGCAAGTGCATTGGATTTGATTGGTCTACTAAAAATGTCGTCTTATGCTGACATGTTTTATAGAAAAGCGTTTCTAGGTAATTCTTAATCGTTATGATGTGCCCTACTTCCCGAAAAGTTCATTGCAAAATTTAAGGTGCACTCTGTATATATACATACCTACTTCATATAAATTGAAATCTTATAAAATCATGTAGTTAAGTTGCTGTGGAAAATTTAAAAGTTTTTGAGGCATAGACATGGATGTAAATTGTATTGCAGAGGCTTTCCTTATTAGACTGAGATATTTTTAGCACTTTCTGCTGCGTAGGACTAACATTAGTCCCAAAACCAATAGAGTTGCAGGAAGAAAAAGCATCTGATTAATTGTGCATTGTAAAGAAAAGTATCCTGGCTAGGCACACACTGGAACAGACAGGCTAAGGAATGAATGCAACAAATGGAATAAAAAAAGGGAATTTCTAATCCTTAACTAATATTAAATGCTGAAAAATTCATTATTTATTTCACTTATTAAAACATGTTAAGGTCTAGAATCCTTTGACTGATAATATATAAATAAGGTATATACAAAAATATAAAAAAAATGAATCTAAACTTTTCCATAAGTTGATTGCTCTTTATGTTAACCATTAAAGCAATGCACAGCAAGTAGTCAACTTGCAGACGTTTCACAGAATCAGAACTAAATTTTCATCTAGTAAATCAAAAATATAGTTTAAGAGCTACTTATATATAAAAAATTAAAAAACTGAAAACTTGAGGTGACATTTATTATACAGTAGGGAACCGATTATCCGGAACGATCGGGACCATCGCTATTCCGGATAACTGATTTTTTCCGGTTTTCTGAATCGCTACAAAAAGCCGTTTCTTTTTATTGTTAAACCCAACAACAACAAAAAAATTTTTTTTTTGGAAATAATCTTAAAAAGAAGAAAAAACGATGGAGTAATACACTCATGATTACTTCCAAAATGATGGTAAGATAAACATCTTTCAAAAAATAAAAAAAAAATCCTAAAATCTTAAGAGGAAAAAAAAAATTTTTTTTTTCTTAAATAGCGGGAAAATTTATCGAATTTTGTTCCGGTTTTTTGATTTCCGGATAACGGGTTCTGTACTGTATTTNAAAAAGAAAAAAAAATCCTAAAATCTTATGAGGAAAAAAAAAATTTTTTTTTTTTTAATAGCAGGGAAATTTATTGAATTTTGTTCAGGTTTTTCAGTTTTCTGATTTCCGGATAACGGGTTCTGTACTGTACTAAAAATAATAGTAATAGTAAATTAAAGCATACCTTGACAGTAATTGATTCTTGAATTTTTCTTCATTGAGTTCTCTGTTGAGCTGTTCCTTTGTTTTGCACACATAGGGAACTAGAGTGTGGTTGTGCACTAGGGCTGCACTAGTTGGTCTCATCTTGGGATCAGGGTGTACCATTTGCTAAAAATAAAAATACAACTTGAAATTTCTGAAAAAAAATTTTATACATAAACTATGCTAAAGTAATTTAGTTTTTTCTTCCCCTTGAGTAAAACTGCATGAGTTGTACTGAGGGGAAACAGTACTGTGGATTGCAAATAAGATAATTTTTTTTTACCATTTTAAACAGTCTAAATTGCACTAAGGTAAAACGGTACTATGATTGCTCAAATACAGTACCTGAATTATCATAAGGCCTGAGAGGCCCAGGCATAGGGGCCCCCTAAATGGTACAAATATTTTCTTTTTATGCTTTTCCTTAAGAATTATATATTTGAAGTAACGAGTTCATAAAAATTGATTTAAATATAAGCTCAAAGTTACTAATTTATCCTAATTTACTTATGTTTATTAATAATTTTAAAACACTTTGTTCTTTGAGTAAAAAATTTCACTATTTTAAACAGTCTTTATCTCTAATGTTTTCTATTTCTTTAATTCTAAATTAAAAACATGTTTTAAACATAATTAAAAAAATATAAAAACATTCATACTCTTAATACCTTTAAAATTTATCATATTATAAAAACTCAGGATGCGTAGCCAGATTTTTCAAGAAAAAATAGGCACCTTTAAAGTATTTTTTAAGCACTCGGAAAATATTTTTTATCACTTTCAGAAAAGAAAATCATATTTAGGATCTGTGCAGCAATAAAAAAATAAAAATTCTAACGTTTGAAGTTTTTATATCTTTTTATAAACATAAAACCAATAAAATTGAAGAATATTTTCATAAACTTTACATAATCATGATAAAATAACTAGTTTCTGATAAATATTGCAGAGATAATTGAGAAAATCAGGCATTTTTTGTAATTTAGAACAATTGATATGGCAAAGAAAAAATCTATTTTTAAAAGATAGAAAATTAAGCACTTTTCACAAACCCTGAATAAAAAAACGCACCTTTAAGGGCTTTCAAAAAACGTAAATAAAAAATAAGCACCTTTTAGCACTTTTTAAAAAAAATAGTTCAGAACAAAAAACTACAATTTTCAAATAAAGCTGTTTTGTCACACAAATATTTAAGAAACTATGACTTAATTATAATGAATAATAAAAACTAACCATAAATTGCAAGTTATGCAATATAATTATTTTTATCAAATTAATTTACACATTTACTATCCATTATTAACAGTTTAAAAAGAGCTATTGGATATGGGGAAAAAAAGTAACTGAAAAAAGTTCTATAAAAGTCTACAATTTGTAACTTAGTTACTTTTGTGCTCGAATAATTTAGGAAACGCAGGTATTTAAAATAAATTAAGCAGAATATAAGTTTAATTTTAAAATAAGCTCAAGATAAACTTTCAATTTAAAAGAATTAAACTTGTTTAAATAAAGCAGTTAATATACAGCAATTAATGTATGCAAATTATAACATAAAATTGGAAAATGTTTTTGCAGCTTTCATACTCAATCACTAGAAAATAAAAATTAATCCTTAGGATCAAAAATGAGTTTTTATAAACATATGCAACGGGCCAAACTTAAACCACAGGAAGGTTTTTATGAAATCTTCATGAAATAACATAATTTGATATTAAAAAAAAAAAACTACAGACACCTTAAATTAAGTTTCAACGAAGATTTTTCTAAAAGTGGAAGAAAAAAGAAAAGGCTTAACAAGAGCAAATAATTGCATGCTTACTCGAATGAGGTCATTCAGTTCTTTAGAATAATAGGACAAATAGGGTATATTTCCTTTCCTAATGGTATGCCATTCATCCCCATTCTTTGGTAAAGGTCCACCTCCACACTATACAAAAAATAAACTTACTTAATTAAAAGTATTACTTAAGCAAATATCATTCGGACACAGTTTTTAATCTACAAATTACCTAAATTCTGACTAAAAATGTACTCTGAAATGCATCAATTAAAAACTTACCACTTCAAACATTGTTAAACCTAAAGCAAAAATATCAGCTTTAGGCAGGTGACTGTAATCATCTCTTAGCAATTCTGCTGGTAAATATCTACAATCTCCTTCTTCCACTTCTGGATTGGTCAGTGATGTCACATGACCTAAGTCACCTACAAAAAGAAGAGAATGCTTTCACTATAAACAAAAACAAAATGAGGCATAGTTCGGAATTAATTTATTGAATTTTAAAACTATAACGAAAACAATTTAAGCAAACACAAGACTAAAAGCAAAACATTTTCAACCTCGTTAAAGCTTTATACATTTATTTTGACAATAGTTTCATAGTATTCAGAATATCAAGAATAAAAATGACTGACCAAGTGAAAAACTTGATTAATAGTCCGGTAAGAGGTAATCTCAAATTAACTGGTTAGAATAAACACTTTGAATTTGGGGTTGAACGTTTGCAAAGAAATAGAGCAGAGTGCATAGCCAGATTTTTCAACAAAAAATAAGCACCTTTTAAGCACTAAAAAAATATTTTTAATCACTTTCCAAAAAAAAATCAAAATTAGGTTCTGCGCAGTAATAAAAAAATTTTTCTTCTATCATTTCAAATTCTTAATTTATAAAATTCAAAAACACTTTCAAAAACTTCACATAATCATGATAAAATAAATAGTTTCTGATAAATATTGCAGAAAAAATTGCGAAAATCATGAATTTTTTTGTCATTTAGAACAACAATTGACACCGCAAAGAAAAATCTCTTTTTAAACGATAAAAAATTAGGCACTTTTTACAAACCCCAAATAAAAAAATAAAAAAAGCACTTTTAAAAAATGTGAACAAAAAGCAAGCACTTTTTAAAAATGCTACACACCATGTAAAGTAACAGTATTTACCTATTTTATAGATTAAATCATCTTCATCTAATTCATCCTCTTCAAATCCATCATCTGAAGACTGAGGAGACACAGGAAAAGGCCTTTTTTTTCTTGTAATAAATATATTACCTAACATAAAGTAAAATACATTTGAATTTGATCGTCAATTTTTCAGATGAATAGTAATTAAAAACAATTAATCAGTCAATAAGATCTGCGGGCTCCAAATTAAGGACAGTCGGTTTATCTGAGAGCACTAAAATTTGATTCGGATCATAAAATAATTATCAGTGGTCCTCCGGGCTAGTAATTGATAAAAAAGACTAAAACAGTTTTTTATTTAAAATTTGGTGTTTTGTTCTGTGTTTTTGTCACTAAATAGCATATTTCATGTAACTGTGACTAAATGATCTCGCTTATGCACTATAGTGCATCAAATAGTTTAAGAAGTGTTAAAGGCACGCAAAAAGACTTATGATGCATAATTCCTAATCCCGAAAAAGGGCACCAACAGATTTAAGTAAGCAAAATTGGATCAAACTTTAAAATGAAAAATAAATAAATAAATAAAAATTCTGTTACTAGAAAAAAATATAACATAAATCAACTAAATTTAATAACCAAATCATTCTTTTAAAAAATTATTAATAATAGATTAATTTGTGACAGCTTAGTAAGAAATGCTTGTATAGTTAAAAATGTTAGCATTTTTTAAACCTTGTATGGCAAATCTTTTTCATTAACACCATAACAAGGGTACTAACATTTTTCTACAATATAAAATTATTGCAATAAATCACTACTTGATCTAAGATGATTAAATCAAGACACAATTTTTCATTTAAACTAAGTTTAACTAAATTGATATTATGTAAACTGACACTAAATTATTCACAGCACATTGAAATCGGGATCTATTACGGCCCTTTCAGTTATTATTATTAGCGTTAACCTTTCTAACTTTGTTTAGTAACTAATTCTGTTTTTTTTTTCTTCCTGATAAATATAAAGCATGGTAAATAAAGTAGAATAGACAGATAACCAATAAAAACATATTTCCTTCACACACGTGAAAGAAAAAAAATTTTGAAGTATATTTTGGATTACAATAATAATTTATTTTTTTTTACTAACACATATTAGGAAGGACTACTATTTGAAAGAAAAAGATTCTTTTTAACTATGAACAGTTATAACTTTTAACTAGAATAAAAGATTGGTGTCCGTGATAAATCCTACTTCAAAATGTGATGTGACTTACCAATTTCTTTAGATCACATTCTTATAATACAAAGCTATTTGTCTCATTTTTAAATTGAGTAAAATAATCATTTATTAAAATTAATAAGGCAATTATTTAGATTAAACAAGGCCTTTTTTTTCTTTTTATAAGCAGAATATCCTGATTTTCTATACATGAAAAGAATAGAAAAAGAGAGAAACGTACCTGGCTTAATGTCCATGTGTGCTAAATTTAAAGAGTGTATGTAGCGCAGACCTAGTACAATGTGTATGAGTATATGCTTCACTTCTGATTCTGGTATGTAAGTGTTCTGTAATGCTTTCTCTTCAATTAATTGAGCTAAACTACCACCTGTCAGAATAGTCAAAAGAATTAGTATTGTGAGAAGATAATTAGTGTAACACCTCAATTTTAACAATCTGAACAAGTGGAAAGAAAGAAATCTATAAAATAAAAAACAATTTAGGTTCAACTGAGAAATACATAAATATAAAATCTACAAATGTGATGACCAGTCCATGCATTTTCCATGGGCAAATAGATGAAATGAAGTTTCAGATTTTTTTAGTGGTCACTAACATAAAATTAATGACAGTTACGCTACCTATAATAACTATTAATCAAAAAAAGCATTATTTAAATTGGTATTTAAACTTAACTGTTTTACAATTATTAAACAGAAAATAAGTTATATTTACTTCTATAATAAGCTTTGAATAAAAATGCATTCAGTCATTTTGAATGCAATTAAAATAACAAATTCACAATTATAAAACAATATAAATTTAATTCTCACAGCTCTTAATGATACCTCGAATTATCTTTTAGGACAGAAAAATTAAATGACTTTTAATATGGGAAACAAAAATTTTAAAACCGAACTCATGGACAGAGTTGCAATGATAACTGAGCAAAACTATTAGATTTAAATTTTATTGCAATAGGATCAGGTATTAAATCTATGAAGCCAAATTGACGTTAATACAATGAAAAATTATATGATCATTCAACTGCATAGAACTTTATTTAAATGTAACAATGATTATCATCAATAATCATTGTTACAAAAAAAAAAGGTCTGAGCAATCATTACGGGGGTTGGTGATTGAAGCAAGCAGGAGGCAGAACTTTCTGAGAAAAATTTAGGAACAGTAAAGCAACATAAAAGCAATAATGAAATCATAAATAATCTACTCAACTTATTGATACTGACAATAATCACAGACAATTATATTATTGATACAAGCATTCATATTAATGAGAAGAAGAAAAATGACCATAATGTGTCTCTAACTTGGTTTACATTTGTGGTTTGTTCACTTTATTTTAATTATTTAACAACTAAGAGAATATTATGCTGTGAAAACTAACAGCAAAGAAAAATGTAATAAGAAAACCGATAAATGTACACTTACCATTACAGTATTCATTCTGTATTAACATATGGTCATTTTCTGCCCAAGCAGAGTAATATCTCACAACATGCTTATGATGTCCAAGAACAGCGTGAGCATACACCTCGTTGAGAGCAGTCCGTCTGTTAAACAAAAGGACATCAATTAAGTTTACAATATAATCGGGTTTTAAACAGAAGAAAATGAGAAAATTTTTTAAGCATCTTGTTGTACAACAGTTTAAGCACTTAAAACACAACATGTAACTTCGTGCACTAAAAAAATTAATATCTGGGCTATATTTCTTATCAGTATTAAGTTTTAAATATTTCATTGAAAAAAAAAATTTATTTTATTGAAAGTTCAATATTAATCACTGTCCCGCAATCATTGTATTTGATAGCATTTAATTACAGTTTAATAGATTTATTGTATAAATTCATTTAATATCCTATAAACCATCTTATTTAAATTTCAAAATAATTTTGAATAAATAAAGCAATCTATTTCTTTTCTCTAGATATTATATTTTAAAAACAAACATCTACTTATACAGAATAATTACTAATCTTTCTATTTCTTGTTATTGTTTTTTTCCTCCAATTTTTAACTGTTTAGCATAGTTCATGTAAACTACACTACAATATAAAGTTTTGGACAGATAAATATAAAAATTTAAAAATTAAATATTTTCAATTCATTTGCATTTTATTAAATAAATGTCGACACGTCAAAGAAAGAGACTCCTTTTAAAGGATAGAAAATTAAGCACTTTTACAAACCCCTGAACACAAAAAGCACCTTTAAGGGGTTTTAAAAAATGTAAATCAAAAATAAGTACCTTTAAGCACTTTTTAAAAACGCTATGCACCCTGATAAAGATTGAGTCTTAGTTCATAAAAAATCCAACTATAGATCAAAAGCTAAGCTATTCAGGGTGCTTATTTGCTTTTTACAAACAATAGTGTAGTGTACACAATACAATTTATAAAAACAATAATTTCACATAAATCTTAATTATAACTTATAGAATCTTATAAAATTTTGATACAGAGCATAATTTATAAAATAAATTAGACAAGATGCAAAACGAAGGTACATACTCATCTGATGTTCCCTTCAAAGGTTTCCTAGACTTCTTAATAGCGTAAACACAGCCATCGAGTCTGTTGATGCATTTCCAAACACTTCCAAATTCTCCACTCCCTATCTGACCAAGCTCTAAAAATTCACTCTCGTAACGCGAGAGGGTCCTTTCTTTCAAACGCTAAAAAATGATTTACTGGTTACTACTACTACTAAACAAAATATTTCTTGAAGAAAATAGATAGATGGAAAATAGAGCAAATAAATAAAACAGGCCAACTTCATAACTAGTAATCAAATAAATTCAGTAATATGTAGTCCTAAAATTGGTTTTGAGAAATGCAAGAGAGTGGTGATTTACCACAGAATACTTAATTATATAGCAGAATATTTAATTTGGATTTGAAATAAAATGAAAACAAATTGAAAATATACTTTAAATTAACAGTAGTCATTAGACCCGGAACCACAAAAATTAGACTCTGATCATCATGTGATAAATTGTTAGTGGTCTCTCAAACCAGCAATAGTTGTACAATAATTGTAAGCTATCTTGATTTTTAGATTATAAGAAACAGAATAAATTTTCTACCTAAAATCTTCATTTCTTTAAAATACTCAATGATGTAATTAGATATTTTACAGACATGATGTAATTAGATATTTTAAGCGACATTTGATTCCGAACAGTATTATACATTTTTAGAGCAACAAACATATTCTCGCTACATGGAATTTTTTTTAATGTAGCATACATAAATAATTTATCAATACTACAAATTCTTGCAAAAAAAAAATCTTAATACATTCCGATTTTGAACAAAAATAATCATATTGCTTGATTTAGAATATTTGTACAGTTAAAACAAGCCAAAACGCAGAGAATAAAAAATTCAGATTGCTACTCTAATCAACATTAATTAGACAATAAACTAGCTAATTCATGTGGGTTGGAATAGTAATCACATTACTGTAAGCTTTTTTTTATAATTAATCTACAAGTTTGCTTCATCACCCATTAAAAAATTGTTTATAAGAAGACATAATTTACTTAAAAATATAAGTAAACAAGTGTAAAAATTATAATAAAATCAAAACTCTCTTAAATTAAAACGAAGCTTTAAATAGAATTTTATTATATAGTGCAAAAACAATAAATTAATAGATAATAAGAACACTGTTTAAAATATAAATAATTAAAATTTAGAAAACTTTTTAGAACATATTCTTTATTAAAGTAAAAAACGTACATTTGCAAAAAATTCTAAAAAATAAATAAATAAATAAAAAATTATCAAATTCTTTACAATTTTATTTGTATCAGTTTAATGTAACAGAAACAATAAACTAGATAAAATATTTCATATTTATAAATTCGTTAATTACCTTATTTGGATGGAAATCTCTGTCAAATTCATTCTCACTATTAGAGTCGAAAGAATCATTAAATGGAGTCCTAAAAATATAAATAGAATAGAATAATTACTTAAGAAACTTATTAAAGTAATAGTAATAATTTGATACAAATGCAATAAAATATTTTAAAAAAAAATCAATAGAACCCATAAGTTTTCCAAAAAATATTTTTAAAAAATTAAATTATTTTATGAGCGACAAAAAGTATTAAATGTCGCAATAAAATATACAAGTATCAATAGCTAGATAGAGAATACAATAAAAATTTAAAGTAAAAATTAACTTGCATTTACTATATTAATTCTAATAGTCCAATAAAAACGTGTATAATTAAAAAATAATAATTTTTAAAAAAATGTACCAGAATAATCTGGATCTCAAACGTCTTCTCACTAACTTAAATCGTTTTCCTTTCGGAGTCAGCATTTTAAAAAATTATATGGCAACACAAGACAACCAAAATAATTCCTAAGTTGATCCAACGATTTCCGTCGCAGCATCCGAACTAAAACCGAAACCAGGAGCAGCATGGAAAGTAAAAGCGAAAAACCAGCTGGAATTAAAGATGGAAAACTTCAAACCGTTGACCCAAACAAAAACAAACCCAAAACCGGATGACGAGGGAAGTTCTTAAAAAAAAAAAATTCAATCCCAGCTGATACACATATTGTATCCATTATTATTTACCTATAACTCCCGAACAGACGTACACGCGACCTTAAAATATGGGGAGGATGACTTTTGTTCTGAAAATGGCTCACCTTTACCTATCCGGCCGAAGAAAAAAGAAAGGAAACCAGGTGAGAAACAGTCGGGGAGATGGGTTACGAAGTTGATCCCGAACTCCCGAAATACGTTATAAAAACGCATCTGCTACTGAAAACGCACGCGAATGCACGAAGAAAAAAAAGAATAGAAAAAACCACGGAAAAGGATCGGCACGTGCCCCGACATCACAATTGAGGCGGTTAAGCATTTAAAGGGGGGGGGGAGTTGCTTTAAATAAGAACTATTATTCTTTTCACGGTCTACAGGAAACTGAAGACGTTCTAAGGAAAACTAGAAATCAATAAGTTTTCTTCAAAGTTTTCCTTTACGATCGCAACGGATTTTCTTAGATGGACTGATTTTCTTGGAAGACAATCGAACTTGGGAATCAAATCCAAAAAACAAAATCATTAAATCAATTATTTTCAAGTCGTAGGAGCCCTTGAAAAAATCTTAAGTAAAAAGGAGCGTTATTCTCGAGGATATTAAATCGCATTCCAAAATCTATTAATTCTAATAATCTAATATACTGATGATAATATGCATTATCGGAATATTTCGATATCCCATAATGAGATTAGATATAATTATGTATTTTTTGTGCATGTTTTACATAATATTTTGATTTGCTTTTAAAGTAAAAAGAAATTAAATTAATTCCAATATTTAATTTGAAACCAATGCAAGGATACATCAGTATGTAAGATATTAAAGAATAGTTCTTAATAAGTTCAATAGAGCAATGTGTTTCAACTTTTATTTACTCGCGTAACTTTTCAGAAACATTTCAAGTATGAAGATATAAGAAATTTTTCACCTTTAAATGTTACCATCTTCATACATGAAGTTAAATCTAGTTAATTTTCCAATTTCAGATGAAGAAATTAACGTAATTTACAAACTCAAAATAACGAATCATTTGATGTTATTAACTAGTTTAACAAGGACAAAACATAGTCTTTAGGGGACGTGGGACACGCGTTTTTTATTCTAATAAAAGCAAACTACCCCAGAGAATACAAACTAGATACAGAATCGAACACGCTTGCTTTGATTCCTTAGAATTGAAATCAGAGCTGCGGAATAGGTAATCGATTCGTCGATTAATAAATACTTAGTTAAAATTTCCACCAAATCTCAGTAAAGTATAAATATTATTAAGTAATTATTCAGTTCGAATCATTAGATTTCCAATTTTCTTTTTCATGTCCGATTAAAGAAAAAGGCACTTAATTTAAAATTACATTTTGGATTCTAACCTATCAATCGAAGAAATAATTTTTAAAAAAATATACATATATTTGTACAAGATATTGGCATTGTGCAAAACCATTGGAAGAAAAGAACTATACATTTCATGCTCACATGTAAGTCTTAGAACTAAAATTTTTTAGTGGATATTCATAATAAGAAAATTGCTACAATAAATTCCATTGCATATTACTAATAAACTTAGCAGCTCATCTAAACAAGTTTAATTTTGGAATTCACAAATTAAAAAGACTGCCTATAATTAATTCATTTATAAATCTCAATGATTTTATGCGTTCTCTTTCAATCGTTCGTTTAAACATAAATTCAAAAATTAGGTCTGTGGTAGGTATTAATTTAAATTATTATGGATGATATTCATTAAAGTAATTATTTTGCTTGCATAACTATAAATATTTGTCTAAATAATTTTCCTGTGATCAAAATCTTTTTATTAATTTTTCCCTCTGTTAGTCTGCAGGACAAAACTTACAGAACTTAGCTAACCGGAGCAAACTTTTCCGACTTTTGCGAGATTTTCTTCGACTTAACAAACTTATTAAAATTGGTCAAGCAACAATTTCACTATTTATTAATCTTTATCGTTCTTATAGGCATAATATTGAATAACAATCGTATATTTTCATTAACAGCATTTGATTAAAATAGCTGAAGTTCACCAAAATATAAATCACTAAGCTATCTTTCTTACTGCCAGCTGTTAGTATCAACAGTAACCGTTGATAACAGACTATCGGCATTAGATTTTGAACAGACGCTGGACTAAAAATCAATGATAAAATAGTTTCACACGTTCTCTCTTTCTCTAACACCCCCTTTCGATTCCCTCCTGAAATCGAAATTAAACAGGAAAAACAAGCATGGAACAAACTAAAGCAAATAACGATTTCATCAATGCACGCTTAGTTGACAATACACCAAAACACAGACACTACATCTGCTTCCGGAAGATCTAAACACCTGGAATACAGAGTTTAATACAGAGGAACTATAAAAAGGGGGGTTTATATTTTGTACGTGGGGGATGATGATCAAAATATCATCAGCTGTTGACTGCAGCAGCAACCGACCCTTTTTATCTGGTACTTGAAAAACGGGACCACTTGTCGCATGCGAGAGAAAAGAACAGCTGACAGACGACACGCGCCTGCTGCCAAAAGCCAGTAAAGGAATTCTCAAATGTAAGGCAAATGAAACAGATAATTCTTAATAATCTCGTTCAAAAGTACGTTTGAGCCTCAGACGTTAAAATAAAGAAAATTATACAAACAAGAATATTGGAGAACATTCGTAGGGGTTTTTCCAGACTTTTTGTGCAAATTAAAACTAATATTTGTTTTTTTAAAATTTGGGAAAATAGCGACTTGTTTTAGTGAAAAATAAAAAAACTAGAGACCATTGAAGACTTACAGTCAAGATCCTGTTCTAGGGAATTTGGGAAGAATCTACTCCTGCTGTAAGACTTCTTCTTAACATAGTATATTTTGTGATAGAACGAAAGTTCGAATTTTAAACTTATGAATTGAGGACATCATCAACTCCACTTTTTTAAAGAATTTATTTTGAGGATGAAAAGCATTCTGGAAAGTCCGTTTTTACGATAAAATATTTTGTGAAGGATTGCGAATTCCTCGTAAATTGACTTCTGCATAAGCATTTTATTTCACTATAAGGCTTGGATGTGGGGCTAACATTAAAAAAAATGTATTAATAAGACTTCGTAATTTGAAATTCAGAACAGAGAAACGACAATAGCATAAAATTGAATAAAAATTTATTTATCACATTTCCTAAACTGTTAGGTTTATAAATATTTTCATAAACGTTTTATATCATATTTACGAAGAAATAATGATATTTTAAGATTAAAAAAAAAAAAGACAGTTGCTTAAAATATCAGTACGAAATTTTTTAAACCAAAGTATATTTTAAAATGTCATATGCGAAAAAGACACATGGAATAAAAGCCAAGTTACTAATAAGCAAACAGAAACCGATTATTTTCCTTTAACCACAGCAATCAATTAGTATAGAGATAGAAAACGATAATTTGGCCTTAGAATCTTTTTATCATTAAAATTACCGATTCCATAATGTAGGAAGAGAGGAGAGGGCAACGAAGTGGAAAATCAGACAATCCATGAAGAAAAACCATGTGGGAATCGGTATCAAAATAACGGTTTTTTCTTGGCCATATCTTCCCCATTCTTTTACCCACTTGTCACCAACTGTTGTTCTTTTCATGCATTACCGCGGGACAAGCATTTGTTATACTTCAGTGAACACGGAAGTTTATCGTTATGATGATCTAATAGCTTACAAGGCATTTTCCCACGATTAAAATCTTTAAAAGTATCTGTATTCTCCCAAAAACCAAAGATATACCGAACTGAATACTTAGCCTTCCTTAGAGGGTGCACAACTTGCAGCACGTGATTGGTAAACGTGAGTCCTCTCAATTATAAATTAACTGGAAAAAAACATAAGTAGGATAAAAATTATGGTCGTTTTTTTTCTTTTTTAACTAATTTCCTTTGACAAAAATATCAACTTTTGAGGGGAAAAAAAAACAATGAAAAAGGATATTTTAATTCTTCATTCTACTTTTCTTACAAAAGGGAATAGCGAAATAGTGACCTTAAAAACTTGAAATAAACGGAAAACGAGCTATAATAGTAAAAAATTTAACAATTAATAATTACAGTTTAAATTATTAGTAACATGCAAGTTTACAGTTAAGAGAAAAATTTATTTCATAATATCTCAACTTAATAACTAACTACACTCAAGCATAAGATAATAGTCATTTCCCCACATCATATGCGTCATACAGAACTTAGCATAAGACATTTCAAGTAGCAGATAATAGAGATAATCAAAAATTTAATCAGAAAGCAAAGGATGAATCGTTTAATTCTAGAATGTATTTTTAAAATAGTGGTCCTCAATTTGAAAACAATAAATTATTTTAAGGTAGTTAAAATATCATTTTAAGACTTTTTTTTAATTAAATTTATGTTTTAAACACTCTTTTCTATTAAAATAAAACATCCGAATAAATTTCGTTGATTTAAAAACTATCATTAAAGAAAAAAATCATTCATTTAAAAGTTTCTATGTTCATCAAAGATCACAGTTTCACTTAGCAAAGGTTTTTTTAAAAATAAAAAAATTTAAATTACTATTCTATTTTTAAATAAATCTGAATCATGCATTACTATAATAACAATTTTTTCTTGTGCAGTAATCCATTTCTGTGATTTATATTTCATAATATTTTAATTTTATAAAATTGCGCTATTAATAAATTAAAGTTCATTAGATATCTTTGAATTATGTTTTAAATAAAATAAATCGTATTTTTTTCATTTAAAAAATAATTCACAGACCCAACAAGGTACTTAATTGCAAGCGATTCGAACTTTTGTACGGAATTAAGAAAAAGAAAAAATGTCCTAAAATTTTAAAATAGAGGAAGCTTAACTATAATAATCTATTAGTTAAAAAAGCTTAGAATTGAGTTTCTAAATATACATAAGAATTACGAATTTTTCTAAATATCAATCCACTGTTGGCAATAACGTAACAAATATCGATTTCGGTTATAATTGAAAAAAAGAAAAGAAATAAAATTTTATTTGACAAAGAATAAACGCCAGATTGAAAACAACCGTCAACCTATTCTTTTAGTTCAATTCAACATAAAATTTATAAATTTTTTATGGTATCAAAGGCAAGGACACTAAAAAAAATACACGTGGAATGTGAATGACACTCAGATAAAAACGAATTCCTCGATAAGAAACAAGTCGGGATGAAACACGAAGATCATTGACGTAAAGGTAGAAAAATGAATCATTGCGAACGCACTTCAACGATCATTTCAGTGATGCAATACAATATGACGTCAGAGAAATTAGCCAATCCAAAGTAACGGAAAAAAAGTTAACGCAATAAATTCAGCGCGCGGATGTTTAAAATTAATTTTTATGAAGACGATTCACCATACTCGATATTAGATATTTGTAAAAGGTGCTTTAAACTTTTTATTTAATTAAAAAATATAATCAAACAATTAAGAATAAATGATACCTCAAAAATTAAAATATATTTTAGCAAATAGTTTTGAAATAAAATAAAACATCAAAATATAAAACAAAAAATATTTACTTATAATATAAAACTAAAATATTTACAGTTAATTGTTCAGTTCAGTTAAAATGGTCAAATTTGAAAAATAACTTTACAAGAAATTTTAAATCCTATCAACAACTTTTAAGAAAATTAGTGGGAAAATTATTTTTCAAAATAACTGATTAGGCCAGCAATAATTTTTAATTATTAAGATGTGACTTTGAGAAAATATAAAGCAATTAATGAAATGAAAGATTATAATGCTTCCAAGAATTAATTGCTCAAGTTTTATACCTTAAGTATATACCCTTTTCTCTATATGAATTGAACAAAGAAAAAAAAGGGGGGAAACAATGAAAGGGGGTAATATTTGCAAAAATATATTTGATAGCCAAAGTAAGTCTTAAAAAAAATTGTTGTTTTATAAACATAATTTCATATACCCATTTAGTTTTTCATCTATTTAAATATAAGCACTTTTAAATATGTAGTTTGTGCAAATAAACACTGAGGAAAAACTTTAAATTCTCTTTTTTCATTTCCGTTAGAATTATTAAAATTCTGATTCGGAATAGAATGATAAAACTAAATATACATTTTGTTATTTAAAGTAAGAAATAAAACATATAAATCATTGCTTAGTTCAATAAGTTAATCATACTATCTTGAAGAGGGAAAAAATTATAAAAAACTGACCTGGGGAAACCAGGTTAGTTTTTTCCCCATAAGAAAAGAAGCTTCCTGATCCCATTTGAATTTAGCATACAAAAATATTGAAATATTCAAGCTAACATATAACCCTTTGAAAACCATACTAATATCAAGCTATATTTCTTAATTCATTAGTAATAATAAAATTAAAAAAATTAACATATTGGACATTGTATTATTATTCAACATCACAATTAAATAAGGAATTTTGTATTAGTTATGTGCAGGAAAAGTTTCATATAATAAAACTTTTAAAATAAATAATATATAACTTGAATGAATGTTTGCAATTTAAAAATAAATTTCTTCCAAAACTTTCCTTGTTTAAATGTTACTTTTAAATCCACAAATACTGGGGACAGGGTGAGTCGCCAAATCTTTCAACAAAAAATTAGCACCTTTTAAGCACTCAAAAAATACTTTTAAGCACTATATACATCAACAAAATGCAAAATAATTCTCAAAGACTTTGTATGATCATGATAAAATAACTGTTTCTGACGAAGAACCCTTGTCTCGATTATATTAGCCACCATAAAAAGATGGAAAGATTTTTCGGCTCGATATCAGAGGGTCGAAAATGAAGCCTAAAATGGAGAATATCTTGCAAAATGCAGTAGAGTTGCACATGAGAGTGCAAGAATCTCAACAAATGCAGCCCAGTAGACGGACTCACAAGTATTCAATCAATCAAACATATAAAATAATTGGCGCTTTCATATGCTACGGAACATTATGCACCGAAATGGATAATGGTTGAATTAATTGTGAAATCGTTGAATAGAACAGTTTTGTAAAATATGTGGTGAAAATTGACATGTTAAAGAAAAAAAGTATCGCTTTCGAAAAGGGAAAATTAAGCATTTTTTTAAAAAGGCTATGAATCCTGTGGGGATCATGATTAGAAATGTGAATTTAGACAGCCAACTAATGAATTATGAATAGTATTGATTAATAACCACGTACTTATGAATTTCGGGTATTTAACAAGGTAATTACCTCAAGTTATAAAAACCTTGGTATTTTACACCAATGAGGAGTAAAATATAAAGTATATTAAGAAAAAACTTGTTTCTCTGAGTAGAACAAGTCTTACTGGAAAACACTAACTACATATTTAATATGTTTTGAAAACATGTATTCCAATAATCATAAAACTAAATGGATATAATCGACAACAAATGTTTATTAACAACAAATTACTTCACATAATGCTAATGAAAAATCATAATTTTACAGTTAAGCATTATTCTATACATTTTTAGCCTCTTATTTAATGATTTTGAAATATAATAATTTACGCATTCTTCTTTAGATTAAAACCTTCATTAACAATGTCATCTGGCTTTAAAAAGAATCACCCTAAATAATATTATTTATAGATATTTTAGATTTAATTATTTTTTAAAATAAAATCTATTAGTTTAAATAAATGATCTTTGTTTAAAAAAAATCACGATAGATTCAAACGAATGATTTTTTTCAATAAAATAAAGCGGTTTAAACGGTGCCAACCCTGATACAAAGATTTTTTAAGTCTTTGCCTTTACAAATTCACAAGTCTAATATAAGAGCCATTGTGAAACAATATGCATCAATTTAGAGGTCAAACAACTGTTTATGTTTCTTTTAATCATGCATTATGCACTGTTGTTTACATCCATGAAATACTTAATAAATCAACAATACCATACATAAATAATAGGGGTAAATTAATTAATCTGTCAAATTTTAAAGCAAATAATAAAACCCAACATCTGAGCTTTTACTTAAAATACCCCAAAGAGTCGATAAAATCACAAGACTACAAATCTTTCTTTCAAGTAAACTAAATTAAGCATATGTTAACACGAAACAAGTAAACATTATCAAAACAGTCCTTTTTACTTGAATACTTAAGGTATAAAATAAACAGATATCATGATATAGAATAACTACAAATAACTAAATATAGAATTTAACTTTTAGATAAATGAAAATTATATAACTTACAGTCAATCTTGCAAAAGAATTACAGCTAACTTATTATTTTTAGTAGAAAAAAATTGGTAATAACTTTATCTTATAAGTAAAATTTGTAGTATTATAAATTACTGTGGCTTAAAATCAACAACTTGAAGGTAAATTTATATTTGTTTACCAAAACTGAAGAATGTTAAAGAGACTAGAATTATGCAATTTTAAACCAGGCAATAAAAAAAAATATTTTTACAACTAGTCAATAAAAAATATATTTTTGTAAACAAAATATTAATTTATATCATAAACATTGACAATAACTCTATCTTAACTCTCTAAATTCATATTATTTTTAATTACTATGGCTTAAAATCAACAACTTGAAGACAAATATATGTTTGTTTACTAAAACTGAAAAATGTTAAAGAGACAATTTTTTAAAGAGATAGGAATTAATTAGGCAATTTTAAGCCAGTCAATAAAAAAAGTATTTTTGTAATAAAAATATTAATTTATATCATAAACTTTATAACACCATCTTTAATTAGAAATCATTCTATAGTTTTAAAAATCAAACTTACCCACATATACCGCTATCTCTTCGCCTTTTACCAGTAGAACCAGAATACTCCTCTGATTTACAAAACGGATTAATATTAGTCCTTAAAGCGGAAGTGGAATATTTACACCAGGACAGAGGCCGTACCCGAGATTGCACATTATGATTTTTGTCAAAAATTTCTTGACCTAAAACTCTAATTCGTGATAATGCTATTTTTTTATTATCAACAGATGAAAGTTCTGATTGCTTTAACAATGTTTTGGGCGATTGCGGAGATCCAAACAATCGTAGAGCTCTAACTCTTCTATATGGAGGAGTAAGATCAATTTTTGACGTCGCAGTTTCGTCAAAAACAAGTCTTTTCCTTAACTTCGGCTCGACCGTATTTTCAGAATCCATTACGGAATCACACGAGATATTAAACTCACTTGGCGAAGAATTATCAGATCGTTTGATGTTGCGATTTCGAATGTCACGACGTGTGTTGATCGGGGATGAAAATTCTTCAAATTCGATGAATCCATTGGACGTATCTAACTTGGTATTCTCGTCGTCTTCGCTGTCACTGAAATCGAGTCGCTGTATAAGTCCGTCGTCTTCTAAGGCGAAAAGGGCTCGCGGCTTGGGCACTTGTTTCTGTGACATCTTGAAATTCTTAATGTTGATAATCTGGCAGGAGATAAATAAGAAAGAGACATGTGAATCAACACGCAAGATGAATATGACTCACAAAAATATTTCAAATATCAGAGCTGGCTTCAACAGGAGCAAACAATCAACAATTTTCACAAATGGCGGTAAAAATGTAAAGAGATTAACCGCTTGCCTGGAACCCACCAATGAGGAAACGGGAAGACGGTGATTTGGGCGTACTATAAATGGCGACCTATCCGTTTCTTTGGTGATATTAGTGTTATTATAATAAACAATATTTAACACTTTAAACCACGTGGCTTTTTTCTTTTTAATAGTGAGTGATGCAATTAAATCTGCACTATAGTCTTTTTCTTGTTATCTTCTTTTTTTAAATTATTTTATTTGATTATGATAAAATGCTTATTTATAACGGATAAAATTTTGAATTCAAAAAGTTTATATCCCATTTCTTTGAGAAAATATAAATATTGCAGCAGAATTAGGGCTAATTGAGAGGGTGGGTTTTTTTTTTTTTTTTTTTTTTTTTTTTTTCAAAATAAATTAGAACCTAAGGTGAACAAAAATTTAATCTCCATTTATATTTAATGATTGAAACAAGTAATTTCTGTAAAAATAATTGACTCTTCAATTATTTACATAAATGTTTCCATATTTTTCTCAATTTAATAATTTATGCTATTTATTTTATTGGGAATTATTTTAAACCCACCATTCGAATAAAGAATTATCTGATGTAATATTGTTTAGCAATGTTATAAAATAAATGTTATTGTATCGTACAGGGGCTGTTCCAATATTACATAAGAGCTTACGAATGTCAGAGATTTGTTAAATGCTTATTTTTGCTCTTAAAGGTGGGGGGAAGGATATGTGAAATGCTTACGTTACATACTAAAATTCACTTATTTTTAAAACTGTTTAAAAATTAAAAATAAGCTGAAAAATACAAAAAAGTTAATAAAAAGTTCAAAAGTTAATAATAAAAGCAAATAAAAAGTTAAATTTCAGAATGAAAAATTTGGAGAAAAAAAATTTGCAAGGAGTCTCAGAATTAAAGAGATATTTTAACTTAAATAGTTAGATCATAGTTATATTAATTACTTTTACTTTTTTCACAGATAAAATAATTCTAGATATATTATCATAGATAAATTAATTATAGATATATTATCATATATAGATATATTAACTACTTTAAAGAACTGATACTATCTTCAAATTCGATTTGTAGATTACATAATATAGCAAAGCAAATTTAGAATAATGGTTAATATACTTGCATTCTGAAATTATTATTCTTTAAAAGAGTCTATAAGTTTAATAAAATTTTATACATTATTTTAACTTAAATGGATAGATCATAGTTATATTAATTACCTTTCTCTCAGATAAATTAATTCTAGATATATTATCACAGATACATTAATTACTTTTAAGAACTGATACAATCTTCAAATTCAATTTGTTGATTACATAATATAAAAAACAGATTTAAAATAATGGTTAATATACATGTATTCTGAAATAATTCTTCTTTAAAAGAGTCTATAAGTTTAATAACATTTTATTCATTAGTTCACCTTAACCAACCAAGGAAACACACCGAATTCAGTTGGTTGGAATGCATAATTAATTGTAAAGAGGGCGGTCAGTAGGCATGTTTGTGTACAGAAAGTAGGCGTGGTACTTAAGGCCTATATGCTGATGTAAAGTAAGGGGAGTTGCTTTGAAAAATATTTTTCTAACCTCTTAATAGACTATCCCCAGAGAAATATTTATGTATAACTTGTACACACTTAGGTATAGTTAGTCATTTCGACTTTGTTAACTTATAATTTGGTTCTAAATAGTGATGAGACAATAACAAAGCTGTACTCAAGGGGGTTGGGTGACAAGGACAGTTGTCCCAGTGCCCTAGACTGTTGACAGCTAGGTGGAAAAAAAATTTGCAAAGGTGTAGCGTTTTCTAACTAATTTTAAAAAAATTACGGAAAATTCCTTTCAGAAAAAATAAAAAGTGATTTATAAATCAGTAGAATAAGTTTAGTTTTAATAAGAATTAACCACACAAAAAATAAAATAGCAATATTTAAAACGATTATGCTGCTTACGTAAGATTTTTAAGTATTTAATTGAATGGATTTACTTCGAATGGATTTATTTCGAATGGAGCCATTCAAATATTACGTAAGCACCTAAAGGGAAGTAGGGGTTTTAATTTCCTAATTTTTGTTGAAAAGGGAGGAGGGGTAAAACAATGCTTACGTTATACCCTAAATTCCTTTTATATTTTCAAAGTTAATAAATAGATGCACTTCTTTGTTTTTTACAATAATCTTTAAAATGACAAAGCGTTTAAAGTTTACGTTTTTTGATATTATGTAAAATATTGATAAATTGAAATAAATTTGTTTCTCGCTTTGGCAGTATCGATATGCAGTTTTTTAAAAAGGCGGGCAAAGTTGAAAATTAAAAGTTTTTTTTAAAGTTTTAAAAATTAGAAGGAGAAAAGTCAGTTATCATTGCTATTAGTGAAAACTTAGTTCAGTAATTGATAAAATAAATAAATACAATTAAAAAAAAAAAAAAAAAAAGCAAAATCCTGNAAAAAAAAAAAAAAAAAAAAAAAAACGAAAACTAATTCTAATTCACTGTGCTATTTTCAAAAGAAGGAAAACATTACGGTTATATTACAGCAAATATATATTTTTATCGAGTAAAATTTTTCATATGGTTTCAAGTCATCAAATAAATGGCAAAAAGGTGTAAAAAAAAAAATACTGAATGACTTTTTTCGAATGATCGGATTCTCACGAACAAAAAATCTTTCTTAATCATGTAATAATCATAATGGTGCGAAAGGTTGACTTTAACAATGCTAATTATTAAGGACAGAAATCTCACCTCATACTCAAAAACATATTTCCTCAAAATAATAAATTTTTTTTCAAAACAGATATGGATAAAATATGGAGGGTATCTTTATCAGGTAAATATATTGAAAATATTTTAGTCAAAAAAGTAGCTGTAGAAGTAAAAAGTAATATCACTTTACTGTATTTATTTTTTTTTTCGTAAATCGGAAACATTTTAAGCGAATCTAAAATTTCTGGAAAGATAACTCGTTTATCCGAAGTTTATACATAATTTAAAACTATGCAATTTTAAATTTATATTATAGTTTATATTATAATTTTTAATTTTATACATCATTTAATTTTATACATCAATTATAATTTTTATACATCATTTAAAACTATGCATTTCTTTGTTCCTCAGAAATACAAATTCAATCTTTTAAAAAAAATATTTATGAAACTTTTATAACTACGAAAATTTTGATTATGCTAATAAGATCTGCTTGTGCAAAATCCTGGTGACTATTCTTGCTAAAACCAAAAATGGAACCCCTTATTGTAAGTAAAAACTTCTGCAAATTAACTGCAATATTTTATTTAATAGAATATTACAAAACATTAATTTCAACGTTTTTTTTTTCAATAGTTAACTTCTTATTTTAATCTCTATTAGATATGCACTAATTACAATATGAAACAAATTAGTGCCGCCGATGTGGCAGAATTTGAGTCAACTTTTCTGGTCGGTTGAATTTTGCACACGCATATACTGTTAATTAATAATCAAATATTTGATATAATCTAATTGAAACATTTTGATTGGTATTTAATGCGTAAAATTTCTGTCATGAATGCAAAAATTATTAAGGTTGATAACATCTTTTATTTATTTAATTTTTTCCCCACTTATTGAGAGCTGTACATTTGTGCAAAATTTGATTGCATGGATTACCCTCATCCCCCACATCCCTGTTTTCAACGCCTGTAAAACGGCTTCGTAAATCAAGGGGCATAATAGGGCCGAGCCTTCCGGTGGGCTTAATAATCCCATAAGTTGACATTATACTTTTTTAAAAGGCACATGGGGAGGGGGCAAATGAAAGCTGCCATTGTCCCCCTTTCACCCCCTAAGTACTGATGTTAAAGAGCATCCCTTTCCCTTCTGCACCCTTCCACACCCCTGCTAAATATGAAGAGCACAATATATTGTCAATAATATTCTAATAATCACGTTTTATATTAGTTTTGTTTAGTTACCGTAATAATCAAACACTCACTATTCTGATTACTAATTTCTATTCTAGATATTCTTAATTTAGTAACTTATTTTCATAATCAACATACATAAAAATTAATCAATTTTTCTCACACGAATATATAGATCTCTTTGGTAGCCGTCAGCATAAGCTTAACAAAAGTCATAAAGATATTGTTTGTAGGAGGAGTTTATAATTTAAATGTATTTCACAATAAATATTTAATTATCATCCTTTCTTTTGCTATTGTTACGTTTTTTATTTGGATTTTTATTCCAAATTATCGGCATCAAATCAAAATAAAAGCGGTGTTTCGTTAAACTAACTTACATTGTTACGCTACATTTTATGATAAACATATTTAAATAGGTTTTTACACTTATTTTACTTTATAGCCGTCGTCGAAAAATCGACCCAATTTTGAGTTTACGACTGCCAATGTTCAACTGTGTAGCCTTGTAATTTTGAACCTAATCCAGAAGACAAGGGATCTCCTGGATAGAGTATTGGGATAAATTTGCCTCTGTAGAGGACTTTTTGACGTAATTAACCCGTATTTGCGTTATATTGAGAGGAAAACCACGAAAACCTCTAACGACAAATCTAACTCGTGATCCGTCTAATACTGATGATATTTTACGTCCCGACGTTGGTCGGTGTGACCGGGTGCAGAATTCGCATCGACCAACAAGTGCTGGGGTTCGAACCCAGGTCACCTCATTGGGAGGCAAGCGCTCTATCCCCTGAGCCACCAAGGCTCTATTTTAACTCATTAACTGTCTTACAGTTACTAAACATTAAGTGAGATATATTTACTTTTCTTATAAGTTGCGAAATTGTATTCAGTCAACACATGTAACTAAAATAATTAATACAAAAATGCGAAATATTATTAAAAATTTGTTTTTCATCTTACAACTAAGTAATCCCTATCGCGAAGAGCATTTTAAGTAAACAAAAATTTAATGCGAATTTAAAAAAAAATTGTAAAGTTGCCATGGTAAAGGAGCAAAATGAATTTTTTTAAAAAAAATTTTAACTCAATTGAATTGGGAGTTA